CAAAACGAAGTATTCCCAAGAGGTCACTGATCCAAGTACTAACTTCGCCTGATTTCTTTTAACTTCGGTGATCAGATGAGAACCAGTGCTTTCCAAGTGCCATGAACGTAGACATCGCCTTTGAGAAAACAAGAGCTTTTGATCTATTAATATTTTTGGCAAAATCTAAACAAAAATATTCCTTTTGGGCAAATTAATGAGAACATTAGAATAATTTTCTATGAATAAATCAAAAGGAGCCTACAACACGAAGCATTCCCAAGAGGTCACCCGCCCAAGTACTAACTTCGCCTGACTTGTTTTAACTTCGGTGATCAGACGAAAACCGGTGCTTTCAAAGTGGTATGGATGTAGACATCTTGTATGTGAAAACAAGAGCTTTTGATCTATGAATATTTTTGGGGAATGTTAACAAAAATATTCCTTTTGGGCAAATTGATGAGAACCTTCGAGTAATTTTCTATTAATAAATCAAAAGAAGCCTACAACAGGAAGTATTCCCAAGAGGTCACCCATCCAAGTACTAGCTTTGCCTGGCTTGTTTTAACTTTGGTGATCAAACGAAAACTGGTGCTTTTCAAGTGGTATGAACATAGACATCTTGTTTGAGAAAACAAGATTTTTTGATCCATGAATATTTTTGGAATACATTGGAATAATTTTCTATGAATAAATCAAAAGGAGCCTACGACAGGAAGTATTCCCAAGAGGTCACCCATCCAAGTACTAACTTTGCCTGACTTGTTTTAACTTCACTGATCAGACAAGAACAGGTGTTTTCCAAGTGGTATGGACATAAACATATTGTTTGACAAAACAAGAAGTTTTTATTTATGAATATTTTTAAGGAAAGTTAAACAAAAATATTCCTTTTGGGCAAATTAATGAGAAAATTGGAATAATTTTCTATGAATAAATCAAAAGGAGCATATCACATAAAGTATTCCCAAGAGGTCACCCATCCAAGTACTAACTTCGCCTGACTTGTTTTAACTGCGGTAATCAGAAGAATACCGGTGCTTGCCAAGTGCTATGGACGAAGAAATCTTGTTTGAGAAAAAAAGAGCTTTTGATCTATGAATATTTTTGGGGAAAGTTGAACGAAAATATTCCTTTTGGGCAAGTTAATGAGAACCTTGGAATAATTTTCTATGAATAAATCAAAAGGAGCCTACAACACGAAGTATTCCCAAGAGGTCACCCATCCAATTACTAACTTCACCTTACTTGCTTTAACTTCGGAGATCAGACGAGAACCGGTGCTTTCCAAGTGGTATGGACGTACACATCTTGTGTGAGAAAACAAGAGCTTTTGATCTCTGAATATTTTTGTCGAAAGTTGAACGAAAATATTCCTTTTGGGCAAATTAATGAGAACATTAAAATAATTTTCTATGAATAGATCAAAAGGAGCATACAACACAAAGTATTCCCAAGAGGTCACCCATCCAAGTACTAAATTTGCCTGACTTGTTTTAACTTTGGTGATCAGCCAAGAAGCAGTGCTTTCCAAGTGGTATGGATGTAGACATCTTGTTTGGGAAACAAGGGCTTTTCATCTATGGATATTTTTGGTGAAAGTTAAAAAATAAAAAATATTCCTTTCGGGCAAATTGACGAGAACATTGGAATAATTTTCTATGAATAAATCAAAGGGAGCTTATGACAGGAAGTATTCCCAAGATGTGACCCCTATAAGTACTAACTTTGCCTGACTTGTTTCAACTTTGGTGATCGAATGAGAACCGGTGCTTTCCAAGTGGTACGACATAGACTTCTTGTTTGAGAAAACAAGAGCTTTTGATCTATAGATATTTTTGTGAAAGTTGAGCAAAAATATTCCTTTTGGGCAAATTGATAAGAACATTGGAATAATTTTCTATGAATAAATCAAAAGGAGCCTACAACACAAAGTATTCCCAAGAGGTCACCCATCCAAGGAATAACTTCTCCTGACTTGTTTTATTTTTGGTGATCCGACAAGAACCGGTGCTTTCCAAGTGGTATAGACATAGACATCTTGTGTGAGAAAACAAGAGCTTTTGATCTATGAATATTTTTGGTGAAAGTAAAACAAGAATAATCCTTTTGGGCAAATTGATGAGAAGATTGGAATAATTTTCTAGGAATAAATGAAAGGAGCCTACAACACAAAGTATTCGCAAGAGGTCAACCATCCAAGTACTAACTTCGCCTGACTTGTTTTAACTTTGGTAATCAGATGAGAACATGTGCTTTCCAAGTGGTATGGACTTAGACATCTTGTTTGAGAAAACAATAACTTTTGATCTATGAATATTTTTGGGGAAAGTTAAACAAAAATATTCCTTTTGGGCAAATGAATGAGAACATTGGAATAATTTTCTATGAATAAATCAAAAGGAGCCTACAACACAAAGTATTCGTAAGAGGTCAACCATCTTAGTACTAACTTCGCCTGACTTGTTTTAACTTTGGTAATCAGATGAGAACCTGTGCTTTCCAAGTGGTATGGATGTAGACATCTTGTTTGAGAAAACAAGGGCTTTTGATCTGTGGATATTTTTGGGGAAGGTTAAACAAAAATAATCCTTTCGGGCAAATTGATGAGAACATTGGAATAATATTCTATGAATAAATCAAAAGGAGCCTACAACACAAAGTATTCGTAAGAGGTCAACCATCCAAGTACTAACTTCGCCTGACTTGTTTTAAAGTGCCTATATCACTTGTGGGATCTTTACGGATTTGAATAGAGCTTGAAAAATTAGTTTATAAGTTCTACAACCCTTTTTGATATAATTAAATAGTTTCGGAAATATTTACATCTAAACATGACGATTTGCCTAAATTTCCATCGTGCTCGGGGGCCTGGGACTCAGGAACCGAGTTCCTGTCAAACATAATATAATCAATTGTAATTTTACTTCTATCTTCTAATAACGTAAAATATTTTAAGAAAAACTCGCCCATTTGCTACAGCCATACACACCGCACCATTCCTGCATTTTTTTCTTGAAAAGTGCAAATTATATCGCCAGCGAAACTCTTCATGTTTACATTATAAAAGACGGCGTGTTTGCAAATTATTCCTGAGTCCCAGTTCCCCAACCGACGTATTTTCGAAACTATTTAATTATATCAAAAAAGGTTGTAGAACTTATAAAAAAAATTTTCAAGCCCTATTCAAATCCGTAAAGATCTCACAAGTGATATAGGCACTTTAACTTTGGTAATCAGATGAGAACCTGTGCTTTCCAAGTGGTATGACACGAAGTATTCCCTAGAGGTCAGCCATCCAAAGTTAAGAAAAATATTCTTTATGGGTAAATTGATGAGAACCTTGGAATACTTTTCTATGAATAAATCAAAAGGAGCCTACGACACGAGGTATTGCCAACAGGTCACCCATCAAAGTACAAAATTTGCCTGATTTGTTTTAACTTCTGTGATCAGACGAGAACCTGTGCTTTCCAAGTGGTATGGTCGTAAACATCATGTCTGAGAAAACAAGACATTTTGATGTATGAATATTTTTGGGGAAAGTTAAACAAAAATATTCCTTTTGGTAAATTAATGAGAACATTACAAAGTATTCCCAAGGGCTGACCCATCCAGGTACTAACTTCGCGTGACTTGTTTTAACTTCATTGATCAGACGAGAACCGGTGCTTTTAAAGTGGTATGGACGTAGACATCTTGCATGTGAAAACAAGAGCTTTTGATCTATGAATATTTTTGGGGAAAGTTAAACAAAAATATTCCTTTTGGGCAAATTAATGAGAAAATTGGAACAATTTTCTAGGAATAAATCAAAAGGTCACCCATCCAAGTATTCCCAAAAGGTCACCCATCCAAGTACTAACTTCGCTTGACTTTTTTTAACTTGATCAGACGAGAACCGGTGCTTTCCAAGTGCTATGGACAAAGAAATCTTGTTTGTGAAAAAAAAACAACTTTGATCTATGAATGTTTTTGGGGAAAGTTAAAAAAAATATTCCTTTTGGGCAAATTAATGAGAACCTTGGAATAATTTTCTATGAATAAATCAAAAGGAGCCTACAACACGGCGTAGATGGACGTAGACATCTTGCATGTGAAAACAAGAGCTTTTGATCTATGAATATTTTTGGGGAAAGTTAAACAAAAATATTCCTTTTGGGCAAATTAATGAGAAAATTGGAACAATTTTCTAGGAATAAATCAAAAGGAGCATATGACACAAGGTATTCCCAAAAGGTCACCCATCCAAGTACTAACTTCGCTTGACTTTTTTTAACTTGATCAGACGAGAACCGGTGCTTTCCAAGTGCTATGGACAAAGAAATCTTGTTTGTGAAAAAAAACAACTTTGATCTATGAATGTTTTTGGGGAAAGTTAAAAAAAATATTCCTTTTGGGCAAATTAATGAGAACCTTGGAATAATTTTCTATGAATAAATCAAAAGGAGCCTACAACACAAAGTATTCCCAAGAGGTCACCCATCCAAGTAGTAGTAGATGTGATTTTTTTGTGGGGGGGGAGCATGAACCAGCACACTTTCATTATATTTTAGTATTACAAAAAATGACGTCACATCCTATTTACGCAAGTAATCAGGCTCTACGGACGGGGTTACCGTAACATTGACCGTCCAGATTGTTCAAAAAATTAGATCAGTGTGAAAAAAAGGAAGTGTGCTGGTTTACGTTTGCATGTCATGTGACCTGTATTAAAGATATTAACTTAATTAATATCTTATAATAAAATAATAATACTTATGCATGATACTAATATTAGTTCATTATGTTTACCAAACAAGATTAATGCGATTCAAAGGTGAGATGAAAAGAAAACCAATGTGTTGATGGGTGACGATGGCATTCCAGTGTAGACGAAGTAAATTGGTGTAGACGAAAAAAATGCGATGATGTAATATAATAAAACTACTATTCACAATGCTCCCAGTAGATGCGAAACAGGAAATAAGATTATTAAATGCAACAGGAAGTAGAATTAGCATGAACGAAGTGATGTAACAGTGAGTAGGTATAAAAAGAGTGGTTTAGCGGCTGTTGATAGAGCTAAAAGTCAAGTTCCTCGAGAAAGAAGAGTTGAGGTTTAAGAAGAAACAGGGAAACCACACGAATTTACTCGTTTTATGGATCAAGTCCAATATCCTGCTGAAGACGATGTCGTTCAACCACCACCAATTGATGTACAACCTGCACCTTTGCCGCCGCCGCCAGCTCAAGCAGATCCCGCGGTTGTGCCTCCAGTCCAAGCGCCGCCACCACATAACGATGATCTAGAGGTAATATTACTTTCTGCTTGTTAACGTTGTGGTTATTCTTCGCCTTATACTATGTTCTGCATAAATCATATCTTAACTTATACTTGGTTTCTTCAATTCTTGGTGAACGTGTTACTGACCCGCTTGGTGTTTCTTGTGAGATTTTCGCTTACAGTTCCTTATTAACATGTTCATTCATGTTGATCCCAATATTAATGTATTGTTCACAATTAGAAGATTGTTTATTTGGTAATTCGATTTCTCTTGTCCTTCGACTATTTGCTTGCTGTGTTCAAATATTAAGCATGAATCCTACTTAGAAGATGGTTTGTTCGGTTTATCTTGTACTAATTTTTCGCCTGCCGTGTTGTTTGGGTATTTTGGGCATTTATTCGGCTTCTCTTGAATTGATAATATTATTTCGCTTACCATGTTGTATTTTGTTCGTCAAGTATTGTTCGCAATGACAAAATTGTTTATTCGGTTAATTCCCTTGCATGATTATTATTCATTTACTGTGTTTGTCCTTATATAGTGTTTATAATTAGAATATTGTTTATTCGCTTTAATTGTCTTTGATTATTGATTATTCCCTAGCCGTGCTTGATTTTCCCGTATTGTTTACAATTGCAAGATTGCTTATTCAGTTATTGTGTTTCTCTGTGGAATGATTGCTCGGCATGTTGTTCGAGTATTGACCACGGACGATTATTTAACATGTTTCCCTGTGAAGTGATTGCTTGGCGTGTGGTTCAAGTTTTGATCACAGGAGATTGTGTTTCTCTGTGGAATGATTGCTTGGCATGTTGTTCAAGTATTGACCACGGAAGACTATTTAATGTGTTTCCCTGTGAAGTGATTGCTTGGCGTGTGGTTCAAGTTTTGATCACAGAAGATTGTGTTTCTCTGTGGAATGATTGCTTGGCGGGTTGTTCAAGTATTGACCACGGAAGATTATTTAACGTGTTTCCCTGTGACGTGATTGCTTGGCGTGTGGTTCAAGGTTCGATTACAGGAGATTGTGTTTCTCTGTGGGATGATTGCTTTGCGGGTTGTTCAAGTATTGACCATGGAAGATTATGTAACGGGTTTCCCTGTGTACTGATTGCTTGGCGTGTGGTTCAAGTTTTGATCACGTACAGGAGATTGTGTTTCTCTGTGGAATGATTGCTTCTTGACAGGTTGTTCAAGTATTGACCACAGAACATTATTTAACGGGTTTCCCTGTGAGGTGATTGCTTGGCGTGTGGTTCAAGTTTGATCACAGGAGATTGTGTTTCTCTGTGGAATGATTGCTTGGCAGGTTGTTCAAGTATTGAACACGGAAGATTATTTAACAGGTTTCCCTGTGAAGTGATTGCTTGACGTGTGGTTCAAGTTTGATCACAGGAGATTGTGTTTCTCTGTGAAGTGATAGCTTGATCTGTTGTTCAAGTATTGTCCACAGAAGATTACTTGATGTGTTTCTCGGAAGTGACAGCATGCTGGGTGTGGGGTTCAGGTATTGATCACAGAAGATGATTGCCTTGTTGATGTGTTTCTTCCTATCCTCAATGTTTGCATGGTTGTGCCAATACCGATCACGAAAAAAGAAAAAAACCAAAAAAAAACGAGGGGGCTATTATTGTATGTTGTTGCACTGCTTGGGGCGCATGTTGATATTCATTGTTCGCCCACTTGTAGAGCCTCCGCAAGAAGTACGATGAATTAAAACACACCATGGATGGACTAACAGAGACATCTGTTCAGGCAACTTTGACACGTCTCATTCGTTTAGCTTCTCGCCCGCTCACACAATTCAACAAACACGAGGCTCTCGAATTAGTCGAATCAATAAAACATGCTGCTCATGATACGAAACACGAAAAAAGCACATTGCTTCGCTCTGGTCTACGAAACTCTGCGTGGTAAGCTGGATCAGTCCGACCAGCAATTTCGTGACTTACTCCTCCCATTACTTGGCGATAAAGATCAGGAGAAGGTTCTTGATGTTGTTGCTAAAGTTGAGAAACGGAACGCACGCCTTCTCCTCCAAGAAAGCCAGAAAACTCCTGGACGTCGATTTGTTGCCTCTCCTAGACCTTCCTACCGACCTCCCATCCGGTGTTTCTATTGCGGCATTCCGGGCCATCTTCAAGCTCATTGCTGCTAACGGGACCTGGACGACTCTGGGCCATCACCGTCGTCAACATCTAAGCAGCCTCGATGTTCTCCGACGAACTCGTGAACATATTCCGCATGTGTTGACTGCACTGCAATGCTAGTGTGCTATATGAATGATACTTAGATATTCATAATACCTAATGTGAATTATATACAGAATACGGAAAAAAAAAACCTGTCATATTTAGACATGAAATATACCTTTATTTATACTCTAAGCTTTGTGTTGCTTATTCATCCAGGGTTACGGGTCCATCACACGAGTCCATCAGAAGCCCTTACCTTTCATTTCCATGTTAGGTTTTGGGAATATATATATACCAATTGCTAAATATAGAGCTTCAGGACACATCGAATATACAAGTATATCACTACTTATTCGATCATATGTCTTTCTATGTATGTATGTGTATGTATATATGTATATATATATGTATATATATATATGTATGTGCTCTCTTTCCCACATTCCACTTCATTATTACATCTTAACATTACTATTTATTCCATGGGAAAGTCCCTCAAGTAGTCCTCCAAATAGGGGAGGTTCATGAATACACGATTCTTGACAACATGCTCTCCATTTTTATGTGGTTATCCCTTGCCGTCAATAATTTTCCGTCTTTATATGAGTTGATTATCCTGAAAAAGAGTACCTCAATCACCTCCCCCAGTATTATTGCTGGGTCAGGATGGTCGCCTCCTATACTGACGGTGGTTTTGATTCCCACATTGATCCTTATAGATAACTACTGGATGGGAATAGGAATATGACTCAGATTTTTACGAACGCCTTCATAATCTGACCGTGCGCAGCGATTCTGCCATACCCTGGGTCGATTATCGTGGGAACCCAGCCACCCGTCGGTGACAGGGCGACTACCCTTGACCCAACGTATCTCAATCGTGTTTTTTCCGGTGATACCCTGGCGGAGCCTTCCACGCTTTTATTTCGTGACCCCAAGCACTTCTGTGCGAGTGAATTGCACAACCATGTCTAACAGTGGAGATGCATGATTGGTGACTCCCCCACTGCACAACAATTCCAGGTGTTGGAATGGATTGAAAACTATGTTTCTATTGACGGCAATGGTTTGCTATTCAGAGTTCACCTGCAATTAAACCAAATTTCAAAATGTCAAACGGCTTCGAAGCGTTTGATGATTGTCTTCAAAAGTGCTACCAAAAAGACCTAGATTGGAAACTGTTACCAGCAAATTTGAAAAGAGTAAGTGAACCTCAGTGTGTTATACAGGGTGTATAAAAAAAATGTCCCAAATGTAAAATTTCTGTTTTTCAGGATATTTTGCAGAATTTGGCAATTTTTTTGTGTTCCTAGAGATAGTTAAGACTTATCTGGTATACCTAGGCCAAGTTTGGTTTTTCATTAACAAAATTATGTTACCGGGGGGGGGGGGTGGTTCCTTTCCACTGATATTGAGACAGCTTGCGCGCGAAAATGTGAAGCTGAAATTGAGATATTATTTAGCTGTCTAAAAGTAGGAAAGCTTTTTAATAAACTGTCAAAGTTTCAGGAAAAATAATGCAAACTGGGAGCAACGCGCGCGACCCCTAAAAGTGACAAATATTTCATTGCGCGCAGTGGATTAAATGCATGGTTGATTTTAGCGTGACTGATCTGATGCAAGGCTGCATGGGCAAATGAATAAATTAAAGCGAGAAACTGAGCAAGAAGACGAAGCGATTTAATAACAAGATTTTTATTCTTGATTTTAATCCTCAACATTTCTACCATTTCTTTCTAAGCAAACTGCGGCTCGTCTGAGCATGGTAAACACTGAACGCCGAACCACATTTGTCTGTCCTGTCTCAAATTATCCATTTCGTTCGAAATTCTTTCTTGCAAATCGCCTACGCTACCACCGGCAAATCTAGGCGAATGGACAGACAAATGGTTCGCTGTTCAGTGTTTAGTATGCTCAAACAAGCCGTAGTTTGCTTAGAATGAAATGGTGGACATGCTGAGGATTAACATCACTTATAAATCGCTTTGTTTATGTGTTCAGTTTCTCGCTTTAATTTATTCATTTGCCCACCTTGTATGAGATCGGTCACGCTAAAATCAACGATGCATTTAATCCACTGCGCGCAATGAAATATTTGTCACCTTTAGGGATCGCGCGTTGCTCCCAGTATATTTTCTGAAACTTTGACAGTTTATTAAAAAGCTTTCCTACTTTTAGACAGCTAAATAATATCTCAATTTCAGCTTCACATTTTCGCGCGCAAGCCCTCTCAATATCAGTGGAAACGAACCACCCCCCCGGTAACATAATTTTGTTAATGAAAAACCAAACTTGGCCTAGGTATACCAGATAAGTCTTAACTATCTCTAGAAACACAAAAATTTGCCAAATTCTGCAAAATATCCTGAAAAACGGAATTTTTACATTTGGGACATTTTTTTTGATACACCCTGTAGAAAAACCAACAGCATTTGTGTCAAAAGACAATCAGTTAACATACGTGTTGTACGTCTTGTATAGGTTTGCAGCCTTTTTGGGAAAGGAATGAAGCAGAGAGAAACAATAGTATTGTTGGGCCTGCTGTCTCTCATCTCCTTCTGCATAGGCCATGATTGGCAGCAATTGATGTGCACGAGTTCTGGACTGAACCTATCATCGTCAGCCTCGTTCCCAGGCGCTTTAAATAAAATAAAATATAGAAACACTACAGGCTTTTTACATAGATCAGTGGCTAAGCAGAGCGAGCTCGCAAGGAGTTTTGGGGAGGACGCAGAGAAGGAAGCGCCTGGCAGAAAATGCATAAAACATGGCTGCCGACGATTTATTATTTATAAATGCAAATGAGGAACTTACTAAAATTCTGTCCCAATTGGAAAGACCGATTCACAGAAATGTATGCATGGGGAAAGTTTTATGTCCAAACGAGGAGTGTTTGGAGAGAAGAGATTTTTTTGTTGAAAATGGTATCGCACATCATTTCCGAATAAAACATAGGCAAGAATATTCAAGCGAGGCAAAAATTCGCCAAAAACTATATGAAGAAGAAACCAGAAAGTGCATGGATAAGATATTTGATTATCGTCGAACAAAGGTATGTACCTCTATATACATTTATTTTAACTCTTCTGAAATTTTAAAATATATTAATTGCCGTTTGAATGGAATTTTTTTTATGATACATTTTTTATGATACATTTTATGTATATTTTTAATACAGAAAGAAATTTACAAAGATGTAAATGTTATAGCCTGTGGTCGTGAAATGAAGTGTACGGTGCGAAATGAGCGTGAAGCTGCACAATTTATTTGCCCGCTGTTGTATTATGGCGGAGCCCTTCATTCCTACAGCAAAGGAAATAAACCATGCGATGTTGTCGTCAAAAGCGCTGGTTTACAGGCGAAATCCCATTGCTGGTTTATTAAAAAGCAAAATGATTGCGTGATGTCCTTTCAGATAGAATAATTTTTTGTTAAACGGGTAAGTCTGCAATAAATTATATAAACATTTACTGTTTGATGTCACATCATTTTTTTGTGACATCTTAGACTTGTATATTGGTGCTGCCTTATTTTTTCAAATTAGCTTGTATGGTAGGTGTGAGGGTTACTTAAAACCCAGAATCTTACCAGGGAGAAAAAATAATTTTAAATGAATGATGGGGTTCATAATCTTAAAATGCCTACAACTTACATAAATTGATAAACATGTATTCAATTAGTAATTTATTTTTCTTTTATAGAACCAGACATCACATATTCCTGGTTCTAGTGACATAGTGTCATTAAGTGATGTTATGTCCACCCAAGGCAATATTCCCCAGCCTTCTGGTGACATCCACCTTGACATACTTCAAAACATTTTCAAACATGAAGACTTTCATGGCATACAAAGGACAGTGATAGATGCCATTGCAACAAATAGAGATGCTTTAGCGGTAATACCAACAGGGGGCGGTAAATCAGTATGCTATTGGATTCCAGGTCTGTCATGCACTGGCATTACTGTTGTAATCACACCTTTTCAACGACCAATCAACGACCAAATTTCAAAATTACGAGGCTATGGAATAAATGTCTGTTATGTTAATTCAAGTATGACCCCTGAAGAACGGGACAATATATTCATGCACTAACTGATAAACAATCAGTTCGCAAATTTTTTTACTTGACCCCAGAGTTTGCTATGTGCCACCTGCTACAGCATGTTTTCAAGCAATGTCAGAGAACGGAACATTATTGCGATTTGTAATTGACGAAGCACACTGTGTTGACACATGGGGAAAAAGCTTCAGACCATCGTATGCTCAACTCAGAACACTTAAGCAGTTTAACCGACCCATTGTGGCATTTACAGGAACTGCAACTAATCAAACGAAGCAGAGAATTGTAGAGAAACTAGGCTTGGTTCAACCCCTTATTCTCCAATCATCCTGCAACAGAAAAAATTTGGTTTTTAAAGTAATTAGCAAAAGTGGTCCACATGCAAAAGAGGATGTAGTGAAGTATGTTCAAGAGAATTTTCCAAATGTTTTTGCGGTATTGTGTATTGTTTCAGTACGAAAGATACTGTTGAGCTGGCCTATCTATTTAAATCCAAAGGTGTTTCATGTGTGTATTACCATGGACAACTCGATCACTTTGAAAGAACTGACAATGCTCGAGCATGGTTGTCAGGAAAGGCACAGATAATATGTGCTACAAGTGCTTTCGAGATGGGCATAGATAAACCTGATGTCTGTTTTGTCATCCACCTCAGTTTAC